GTCTTTCCTTGGTTTCCTCTGCGCAGGAACCTCAGGTCCAAAGGATGTGCTCTGCTCCCAGCATTGCTTTCTTGGTGGTATGAGGTCACCCTGTCTCTCTGCTTGCTTTTCTCTTTTATACCTCAAAAGAAATTGGCTTAAGACACTGTGTAATCTTGTAGACCTCATCAATATAACTGCCGCTAATCCATCTTATTACGTCATAGTGATAGGATTTATAACGCATAGGGAAATCACATCAGATGTCAAAATGGTAGACAATCATACAGTACTTGGAATCATGATCTAGCCAAGTTGATAGATATTTTGGGGGGACATAATTCAATCTATGACAGACCCCATGTGTTACAGAGTAGAACTGCCCCATAGGATTTTCTTGCCTGTAATCTTTACAGAATCAGTTTGCCAGGTCTTTTTTCTGCAGAGCGGCTGCCAACCTTAAGGTTAGCAGACGCATGCAAACTGCTTGTGCCACCCAGGCTGCTGACCAAAGGTCAGGAGGGGAGGAATGTCAGGTATTTACTCCTCAGGCTCTCTCCACCATGTGCCTCTACTGAAGGCTACAGCTCCATCAGGAAGCCCTCTCCTACAGTGACACATCTCTCTTTGGGTTCTAGTAACTGCTTGCTCCCTGTAATGGTTATGTGTCAACTTGGCTAGGCCATGATTCTCAGTGGTTTGGCAGATATTATGTAATCATCCTCCATTTTGTGATTTGATGTGAACAGCCACTTAGTTGAAAGAGGAGTTTCCTTAGGGGTGTGACCTACATTCAGTATGTATAGATGTTCTGCAAAGCTCACCCCTCTCTGGATCCTGCATCCAACTCGTCATCCTCTGATCTCCGGTTCTTGGGATGTGAGCCAGCAGCCTGCTGTCTGACCTGCCGATTTTGGGTTCATCAGCCCCTGCAACCACGTGAGTCGGAAGAAGCCTCCAGCCTGACATTTGACACACAGATTTGGGACTTGCCAGCTTCCAAAACTGCACAAAATAAATCTCTCTCTCTCTCTCTCTCTCTCTCT